GTGTACACGTACATCGAGTGCTTTTAAGATGGATCGACAAGGTGGTACAAAGAACGACGCTTTAATAATGCGACCGAGTCAAGAGGAAACGAATTCTCCTCGTCCCACCCGAGCCAAGGGAAGCTATTTCTGGTCCCTTCGACGCCGCTGTCAAGGATGCCACTTTTTCATTTACGACAGCGACGTCGAGCACCTCGGGGCCCGGGCATTGCGAAAACAGTTAGGCGCATTATATCATATCCGTAGGAGAGCGCTCTCTCGTTCCGGAGTGGACATTGTTTCAACCCGTCCGACACGGAACAATGCCAGGAATCGAGTGCCGGCGTACGTTGAAACACTTTTTTACTTACCAGTCAGCGCCGACAATGATCTCGTTAAAGAGGCCTGACCGGGCCCACTTTGGCCACGATAATGCTTTTCTCTTCACCCTCCTTTTATCCTGTCCTACTCTTTCTGATCGTCAGTTTCTTCTTTTGACTTTTTTTCGGTACCAAGTGGGCCTCGTAACCGCCAATGAGGGTCAAACTTGCCCACTTGAATCTTGACTTATCCAGGATTATTTTGCGATACGTATGATCCGAATTTCTAGAAAACAGTGTATGGAAAGGCGTAATTTCGAAACGCGCATCGTGACCAAAGTGGGCGGTCAACCAAATAGAGTTCGCGCCCGTTTATCGTGCTACCCGGGGTCCAGAGGAAGGTGCATACAAATATAATGTACATAAGAGAGTTACCCACGAGAGAGAAATGAAGAAGGGGTCGAAAGTACGCACCCTACCGAGGAAACGGGCCAACAGAGCCAGCGGGGTTTCTTAGGGTGAAGAGAGTAGAGTAAAAAGGTCCCCGCGCCAATACAATTGGCCTCTAAACAGAGGGTAGTTATAGCGAAACGCAATGCCCATTGGGGTGACGGCGAAGATGGAGAGCCGATCGTCTCTCTTTCTTCTACCCTCTCACCAATATAGCCATGCGTTATGCCTCATGAAAGCAAAGGGTGGTCACCTTCGACAGATTCGGGGTGAGACTTTTCAATGCACCGACCGGAACACGGGAGAGAAAAAAAAAAATTTTTCTATATGTATGCCCGCGTATAGGAAAGGGAGCGCGACGAGAGGTGCCGTTTGACGAGAACCTGACGTCTCTCCGGCTTTCTTCTCCGCTTTATATTTTCATTCTCTTTCCCTTGCACTGGGCCGGCCGGGCTTTGAACACAGGCTTCTCCAGTGTCGCAAAAGAAATTCGAGGTTACGAATTTCGTTCTCGACGCACCAGCTTCTCTCCGCTATTATCCAGCAGCTGGCGTTTCGCCTCCGTCGTGCGAAACGCGTTCGATAGATTTCAATCTCGATTCCGGATCACTTTGGATTCATTCCGATACCTGACACCCGATCGATCTGCCCCGAACTTTCTATACGTACCTTCGCAACTCGATCGAACAGTATATTCTATACATCTTATTGTCGTGACAGTTAGGGTGAAGTGTCGAGAAACAGAGTTCTGTGGTGTATAATATAAATAAGAACTATACGCTATAAGATAAATAAGAACTATTACGATTTTCATTGTTTTCAAAGAGGAAATGTGAATAACGGGAACAGATTGAATTAAAGAAATGCATGATGTTATTTATTATTTGATAAGTCATTGGTAATAATAAATATATATACATAAATGTGTTCAAAATCATTGTTTCAGTTTATCTCTTTTGTTGTTTTTCCTTGGTATGTTATTTTTTTTTAATCATTTATGGCTTTTATTTTTTCTCTTAATATGCTAGTTTTTTAATCATTAATCGCTGCCGGAGCATAGAACTGTTGCAGCTTAATCGCTATAAGATTATTCTTATGATGATATGAGAATATTCTTATGCTGTTTGTTCATTTGGAACAAAAGTCGCTCGTGTGATTCGTCAACAAAAATATTTTTTTATAAGCTCTCACCAGGCCGAAACAATTTATACCAAACGCGAACATCGCACACATACCGAAAAAACGTATACACTGTTCTATATTTCTTTTGCATACTTTTGCGGACTAGAGTTCTTTGAATACAGTATATACTATCATACATAGCTATTATAGAAGATTGAAAAGTAAAATGAAGAATATATCAATCGGAAAGTAAAATCAAACGATAAAGTACATATAACGAAGAAATTCATTGATCGGGCACGATCGTCCCCGAAACAATTCCTATTGATTGTGCAATAATTTTCTGTGCTTTAGATGTCAATTAGTTACAATAAGAGGTACATGAGGCAATTGTTATTGATTCTACTTACAGACAATACAACACATATACTGCACACGTGGATCGGTCGCGTTCTGGCGCGTGTACTCGCTTCACTAGCGCGAATACTGTTGGAAGATCATTTCTTATAACATAACGAAATCACAGTTAACGACTGGCCCATTTATATACCTTGGACCAACAGCGACGAATAATGCATTCGTGAAGAATTTACTCAACGAAATAACAATCTAATTATTCCTTATCTTTTTTAATCAAATCACTCCTTATCCTGTCTATAAGTGTACTAACGCGACAAATAAAGGTGAATTTAGTTTACTAGTAGTGACATAAGACAAAGTTTTTCTTATTCTAATGTAGACAAATTATTTAGACTATCTCCGTTTCAAAACTTTAAATACCAATAACTCATCGGATTCCGGACTTGCTTCGCGCATATACATGGAAAATACAACACGTTCTATCTTTCCATTTGTCGCTGTTGGTTGGAGCAACGTATTTTGTATTTGTGCGAGCGGAATGGTTTCGGAATCATCATACATAACTTTAGAGATCATACGCGAGGACAATAATCGTTCAAATTTCCTAACGTATCTCGACTACACCGCGGTTCCATGGCATACATGGCTCTCCTTGGATCCGATTGATAAATGGGCAGCGCATCTTTTGCGCAAGTGGCCGTCCTAGATAAAACACAACATCCATTGAAATTTCACGTCTATAAGTCTTTTATCTTAGCTACGATATCACATTTATACTTGCAAGATTTTGAAATTTTCAAGTCAACGAGCAAGTCTTTTTGCCGAACGAAACAACGTCTTACAAAATCTAAAACTTATTTACTAAAAAATGTTCTAATCGTCTAAACGATTATATATAGGATGTCTTGAACAAATGTATACACAGTTCAACAGTTAACAGATTCTACTACACTTTGAAAATCATATCTATTTTAATAAACACCGACTTTATGAGTATTTAGTTGGTATACATTTCTTGAAGACACCCTGTATGTATTCAAACGATAACAACGCTCCAAAGTCGACGTCAACTACCGGAATGAATCTTATCCACACATGTTAAACTGAAATCGTATCTGAAATACTTTGAATCGTCTGAAACTAATTTAAAATCCGTTCGTAAGAAAAACGGTAGAAGAGTAATCCTCTACTTTCGTAATCGAAATAAATTTCGTAACTAAAACCTAATCGTAACTCAAATTGTAATAAGCTATGCAAACTAGATGGAAAGACGCACGAGTGATCTCGAAATCGCCACGGGTGTTTCGGGAACGCGTTCTATCTGCGGTATCATTGATCAAGCGACAGGTAGAAGGCACATCCGCAATTAGAAAACATTATTTGAAGACAATGTGATCCACCGCCCGATGGGAGGGAACCGGCTGTCTATTCACGGGGCACCACAGTGCACAATACAATCCCCTGTTGAATAAAGCAAAACGAATTCGTGCCTAAACGGACCCTTTTGTTCCACGGCATTAATATGCTAATTCAATTATCCGCGTCCGCGTCGTTGTCAATGCGCTGCGACGAACCTTTCCGAAAAACTCGGTCGACTCGCGATCGATCGTGCCAACCTTGAAAACTCACGCCTCCGCCTACTTTATTCAACGATCGTTACATAAAAAGAAACAGTTCACGTGGACTCTCCGCGGAAGCTTTTCATCGACTCTCGAGCGTTGATACCGATAAGTACGCGCTTATACTTGCATGATGTGGAGAACCTAAGTATGCGCTGGACGACTGTGTGTCACTCATTTCTTCTGCCCTCAAGACGGCTAGATGGACATCTAGAATATTACGGAGACTGGACGTCGCAGTTGCTCCATGTCGAGCGTGGCGTTCGGGTTCGGTGCAGGCATTTGTTGGTGTGACGATGAGATCGACGTGGATCCTGGGCTGCTTCCAGGGCTGCTCGTGGTCATCGCAATGGGTCCGGTGGACGTTGACGACGTTGGGAACATTAGAGGATGATGATGTGCTGTCGGGGTTACGGGATGTCCGTTGGCAAACAGTGGGCACAATTGCGACGCGGTGGATGGGTATGGTTTGCCTGCCGTCGTGTATAACCCGGAGTAGAAGCTACTGACCACTGCAGCAGCGGATGCTGCGTTGTTATTCATTGCATCGGCTGTCGCGACCGACGTACTTGGCGTGGTACCGTTGCCAGAGACGAGTTTACCCAGATGGACGGTGTCGAAAGTAGGTGCGAAGTAAGGGGCCAGAGGTGGGTAATCAAGATGGTGATGATGGTGGTGAGGTGGCCCGGCAGGTGCAGCGAAATAAGGCGGTAAGGAAAAACTCGCGAAACCACCTGGACTCATCGGACCGGCCTTGCTAGTCACTACAGATACTGGAAGCTTTGGCTTTCTTCGCGGGCGGTACTTATAATCCGGGTGTTCCTTCATGTGCATCGCGCGAAGACGTTTCGCCTCGTCGATGAACGGCCGTTTTTCAGAGTCCGACAACAGTTTCCACTCAGCCCCCAGTCTTTTTGATATCTCTGAATTGTGCATCTTCGGATTATCCAATGCGATCTTCTTTCTCTGTATTCTAGACCAAACCATGAACGCATTCATAGGTCTCTTGATGTGTTGCTCTGGCGACAATTGCTGTTGCTGGTTTATGTTCATATCTTGAGTCACGTGGTGCACCGAGTGCAAGTCCATACCGGAGAGAAATCCATAGCCAGGGTGTTGTTGATGTGAGCCCATCATCTTTATTTCTGACGTGTAAATAACGTCAGTTATAGAATCCCACGATCGTTCTTTCTGCCACTCTTTTATACGTGATCTTCTTTTCTTCAGAACTTCACACACTGTAACGTTCCCGTTAGCACATGTTCTGTCGAGCGGATAAACGTTCGATCTCCATCCTCGCGTTTATCCACGCATCAGTTAATTTTCATTAACTGATCACTACGTTCAGTTGGGCACTACGGCCCAATACACCTATCTAAATACCAACACTGAAACATTTACAAACAGGCCTAGCATGAACGTGCTCGAATGGTGTTTCGGTCGAGACTGAGACTTACTAACTCACGGGGTTTGCGAGGTAGGCTCCATTCATTGTCTCTGTCTCTGTCTCTCTCTCTCTCTCTCTCTTCACGGTGTTCGAGGGCGGAACCGACGCGGAGCGTCCGTACCGCCCACGAACCCGGCCCTCTTCATGCTATTCGTCGAGGTTACCCCGTCGTGTATATGATATATATATACCCTTTCTCCCCGCTAAAGTGACACCCGAACCAGGAATCGGCAACAACCCCTGTCCCTGTCGCTGTACCTATGTGCCCTGACTGAACCGAGGAGGGCTTGCCGCTGCCTCGGAGACCACGAGCAGCAATTATTATTATCGATTACCTCAATACGATGAAGTACAAATAGCGTATAGGCTGTCCGTTATTGACTACTCTGTTCGCGTAGTGCTGCATATTCGTGTAGTGACTCGACGCGATATCATGCGATAATTGGTTACGCTAGCTCTCACCCCTCCTTCCGTCGTTTTCATTTCTCCTGGACCCGGTCACGAAGACGTCTCGTGGGGGGGTTCTTGGTCAACGAGCTCGAAAGTCTTCGAGTAGATCAGATCCTGCCAGCATACTTGCTTCTTCTTTCTGACCTCGAACGACATCTGCACGTGTTCGATGATTGTTACAGTTTTCGTTCCATATTTTTACTGTCGTACGCATCGGGTAATATCTAGTGAAGAATATTTTTATTTTACGAGCAAGGGTTTTTGCAGATTTATTTTTACTCAAAAGGGTAGATACGTGTATTGTGCAGTTTCTGAAATTTTTACCGGTTCACTTAACAAGTGGAAAATGCCTGTTTTCGGTATTTGAATATACATTTTCTTATCATCGATAGGCGAATGTAAACGCGACGATTTGACACGATTATAGAAACGAATGATTAACACCGTTTCTTTGACTAATCCGGGGTCGGTTTCTCGTCGAGTAATTAATCAGAAATTCGCGTGTTGGCGTTCTTTTTTTGCTTACCAGCAGAAACAATAAAGGGGGCTGAAATCTGCCGGTTCCTTTCCTGTGGGAAATCTGTGGAACAATGCAAAAAAATCTCTCGACGACAGGCACTTGGATTAGAATGGAAAGCAACAGCGGCGAAAGGAGCGAGCGCGGTGCCCCTTTCCCAATCTCGACTCACCGCGCCCTCCGCTCCCAAAGGACATTCAGGGCAATGCGAACGAATAAAAGCTCTCGCTGTCTCTTTCTCTCTCTCTCTCTCGCGCTCTGTGCGTTGGTGAACTGTATTAGTCGTTTGTGCTTTTGTGCCACGGAGGCGCGTACGCGGTGTCTCCTTACTTCGATTTTCGAATAATCGATTAAGCTTCCTCCGGTCGTTTCGATGAGACTCGCCCCTGTACAAAAACGTATTAATCGCGACAAAGGGTTCAGATAGGATAATCTCTGCGCAGTCTTCATGCGAGTAAGACTTTCTACAATCTCTTAAGAATATCATTCGCAGGAGTTTTCGTGATTTATTCCAGAGCGCATTGTTGCGTCCCTGTTATTATTCCTCCGGACATAATACCCAGAATCTGTCGAATAAAGCTGCTATCAAAATTCGCTGGCATTTAAAAAAAAATTGTCGATAGCATTCAAAACTGCGAAAGCAGCAGGAATCGAGAGGAGGACTCGTAGCACCAATAAGAGAACGGTAAACAGAGGGAGGAAGCGATTAAAGCTTGAAAAAAAGAGGAGTAACCGGACTCTTCCGGAGTGAGGGAGTGAGGTAGGAAAAATTCCGTCGATGGATGGTCGCCATTACGTCGGTCCGCATCCTGGAGATATACATACATACGTGCGCTTGCACACGAACGAGTCCCACCCCCCGTTCTGTATGCAGTTGGGTGCAAATTGGTATTGAAAAATCTCGAAGTCAATTAAAACTCGAGATACAAAGGATTTGGCGAGACAAAATACCAATTATCTCATGTCCTCCGTCTCTCTGCCCGTCCCTTCGACTCGTCTCCCTTGCCCCGGAGGGGTGGGTGCCACCGGCTGGGTGGTGGGCGAACGGGGTGGCACGGTATAGGGACAGGGGATGAGGGCGCTTACAAGAACTCAATTCCATTAAGCATTGAAGTGAGTAAAACGAGGCAGCTCAGCGTGGATGGGCATCCATATAACGCAGCTCGCATCTCGGTTATCTACCTAATAAAGGTTCGACTGTGCCGCCCCGACCTCTCCGCGCTGTCGTCCTCCGCGCCCCACCGGTTCTTCCACCGCTACCCTCTACGACATAAAGCATGTGCCAGTGAGGTGTCTATGAGACAATCCCCCGGGATGACAATGCTTATCCCACGTATGAATGCCAGCGATGCTTCCTAGGTAATTTAAGTATGCCCCTACCTCCCCCCGATACCCATCCCGACCGCACCACCCTCGCTTTTTACCACCTTCGAACCATTCGAGGAACCCGTATATCTTTAGCTGTGCAGCGTTCGCGTATGAAAACCCGTTGTCCTCATTTTAATTATTCCCATTAGCGACGAAATCTTTTCGCAGCCTCCACCCCCGCGTCCGAGATTAGAAAAGCCAGTCGATCCCCTTCTCGATTCTCCGGGACCTGTGAATTTCGAATGAGCCCTGAGATCCGTCTGGGGACTCCCTGTATCCTATCGAGCTCTATCGCCAAGGTCGATCCGAATGGAAATGCCGTGAGAATCGCGGGAGTCGAACAATGCCCAGCTTTGTTTCACTGGAGATTACGATTTCGCGAATGCAAAACCGCGAACGCGTTTACGTTCTCATATATTCCCACCTTTGATTCTTTATTTCTTATCACCCTCTTTACATTTTTTCCTTTTTATTTTACTCGTTGGCTGCGATTTTTAATGTAAGATAAGAAGTACAATAGATCGGATAAATGACGTCATCTCCAAGCCTGACGGTATTCTCTGTGCCGATTCTGTTCTATAGATGCGATTCAAGTCTGAGACTGATTAATAATAATTAGTCGGGTAAGAGAAACGAGCGAATCGATATCATTGGAGACAGCGAAATTAGTTTACTGTGTAACGGCGAGGTATTCGATCTTACGGACGAACTGACTCGACGCATACTTGAGAATGTCAGGGTTTTAAAGAACATTCTTCGAACAAAGAACAGGACCAACGAATGCTCAAGAACTTATTTTCATTCGCTAATGGGATCTAAACATGCAGTATATTCCTTCAAATATTGCGCAGACTAAAACGGAGAAGGGTGGTTTTCAACCAGGTAGCAAAATCCTGGCTAATTAATAATCGTCCACCGGCGTCGGTTAAATCCGCAGGTGCTCGCTCGTATCTAGACGGGACGCCGAGCGTGTAATTCGGATGCGCCGGATTATTCGTGCGACGTTTTGACGTTGATCCTACAAATTAAGTCGACTGCTCGCGCAGCCGAGCTACCGAAGCTAACTTCGTCACCGTGAACGCAAGATCCAACGGGTTGAGGCGGGGTGAACGCGAGCGAGCGAGAGAACCTGGGAACAGGTGGGGCAGAACGGAGCGTAATCGCAGCGTACTTTAGATGATTATAGGCAATCGCAAAAGTACCAGAAAGCGGCTCTTAAGAGGGAACAAGACAGAGAGGGATAGCAGTGGCGTGCGTCGGGAGTTCGGCAAAGGAAGGAAGGAAGGTGGATGAAAGGGGGGAATACACGGGCCCGTGACGGTGCCACGTCGCCACCCCGACGTGTACGCTCGAACGCTTTGCGTAATTAGCGACTGCCTCTCCTCCGGTTTTGTGGGTGGGTGAGAGGGCGAGTTGCGTTGGGCGACCTGGATGGCGAGGGTGAAGTGGGCGAACAGCGTTACCGTGCGTCGGGATCGGGGCACCCAACCCCCCAGGAAGAACACACGTTCGAGTAAATCGGCGTCGACCGGTTGAAGACCATCGCGTGCGTGAACACACGTGCGATATACTGGGTGGTCCGAGATGTAAAATCGGGATGCTTCTTACTTTCGCAGGCTCGGCAGATATAAACCGTCACGTTTTTCAAATGAACCATTATGATTTTTTAACAATCTACTGTTAATTCAACGATTAAAATCGTTCTCCAAATCAGCACTATGTCAAAAATTTAGACTCCATTGAGGAAATAAAAAAGAACGATCTTTGAATGAAACAAGTTATGAGTGAAACTTATAATACATATAATGACGATAATTCTAATACATCGAGAACCATTCTCAAATGATTGAGTTCACCCTATGCATACTCGCATCGTTCACGAACAGCGAATTCGGCGGCGAATTAACGCGAACGTTTCGCAGCTACTTGGAGGAAGCCTCTCCTCGCACAAACGGTTCGTAACGATCAATTATCGGGCATAACGCTCGACTGGGAATCATTCTAAAGCGACACCAGATTTCACTACGTAAACAACATCTTGGGAGGGGCGCCGCGATTCTCGCGTTAGTCGACCGCAGATCTGATTTTGCCACTCGTGAAGAGAGAGAGACGGAAAGAGAGAGAGAAGGAGGGGAGGGGGGGCGAATTATGCGGTTCGTGGTGTCGACACTAATCCCTGTCGAAATACACGCGGGACCAACGAATCGAGAAGCTTGCGGGGTTAGACGCGCGACGTAGACGCAATTAATGCAGAGAAACCAGCCGGCGGACGACGGGGGCGAGCTTCGAGGAGAAACGCCAAGCCGCGTCGTGAGACGTAATGACTAATTGAGATTGGGTAAGAGAAGGGAATAATACGACCCGGCTGGTCACGGTAAAGCGCTCATTTTTTCTCTCTTTCCTCTTTCATCCTTTCTCGTTCCCTTATTCCCTTTACTCCGACCCTCCTTACACCCTCGTGTCGATTACAAAGGATTTCTCGCCTGCAGGCACACCAATGGAATTACGAGCTGCCCTGTCGCGCAGTAGTATGCATCCCCCGATTCTCCCAACCATTTTAATTCGATCGATTTATCGGCTGCCGCTCTTAACTGTCTCGAATAGACTGATTTATTAATCCCTGCACGTTTTCTTTGAACATTTTCGGAAAAACACGTTCTTGATCAAATACAATTCCAAATAGAAATTCTAAACTCTAAATCTAAGGACTGTCCGCATAATCTGATGAACGAATCACGACGCGGCACACAGAACCACGTTTCCGGAACCAACGAACCCGGTAACGCGTCCCGTACCATTCCTCGAGGGTTATTCATCAACCGCGAAGACAATCCCAGCGCGTGTTGTGACACAATTTGTCACGATATCGCGAGAACGATTCTCGGCATCGATATTGTGTCGCGTACAACCCACATCCAAGAGAGAAACAACGGAGCCAAGCAGTGGAGCAAGTAAAGTAGACAGGAAGGAAGGACGGAAGGAAGGAAGGAAGGAAGACGAAAGGAAAAGGGACCAGCATACGCGTATAGTCGTAGTAGTTGAGCAAAGCAAGCGGGTGTAACCAAGCCAAACCGAGAGATCTACCATGCGACACAAGGCAACCGTCGCGCGAGTGTTCTCCATTGGTCGGGCACCGGGCCTCGTCGACATTAAGATAATTACTTTCCAGCAGGACGTGGGCGTTCATTGTTGCTGTTACCGCGGCAGAATGGCATTATGCATTGTCGAGAAGAAAGTGAGGGAGTGCGTGGTTAGGAAAGGGTAGCGAGGTTGCGCGAGGGAGATAGAGGAAAAGGAAGGTGTGTACCCCCTGTATATCACGTATACCTTAGCCGGTCCGTGGGTGGAGCATTATTCCGTCAGTTCCATGTTTCGCCATTGAAACTAGCGTGAGAGGGGGAAGAGAGGTGGTTGCCTTCCGTTCCTCGAGGAAGAGCAGAAGCAACATCGAAGGGACGGGCATCCACCCGATGTATCCAACGGCTTTCTCCCAGCCCGACGCCATTAATGTAATTATTTCCAGCGAGTGTTCCGACAGCAATGTCTCGAATGTCTCGAAACGCTTCGCGGGAATTGAGACTGATCAGCCGGCGGTTCCCGAGAAAAGAATCCCTCGTGTCCTCGGTAGATGCGGATGCCTTCGCGGCTCTCCGTTATCCACCTTTCGTCTCTCCCCCTTGCGACACCCTTCCTCTGTCTTCCCTACACCCTCGCGCGCGTACTCGTTTCTTCGTTAAAACCTGGGGGGATGGATGACTCGTCACGGCGGCGACGAAGCGTTAAAACGAGACGCGCTTCCCGGATTTGTGTCGCTCGTTTGCACAACCGCGATAATACCCTGATTTCGCGTAATGGGTTTCGCTCTCGCGGTTTGTCGCTTCCAGTTTCTCTCCTTCTGTCTCCGTTCTGTTACCGATGCGCGTGAAAATCAAGCAGATTCTTTACCGTGGAATTGACGATACTTTGTGCGACGTCGCGTCCATACGCCCGTTTACCGCTTTTTGCAGAGAAGATACTTCCCTTTGAGAAGATCCCCGAAGTAGATAGATGAGAACTTTGTAAGAGTTGCGGGAAAGGGAGTTGTTGATGAATTCGCAAACTTTTCGCCGACGATACGACGAATCTAAATATTTGAGAATGCAACTACTACCAGTGGAAAGGAGGTTTCTTTCTGCGACGTGACAGGGAATAGTATTCACGAGGGACAGAGAGAAAAATCGTGGATCCTTCCTTTGAGTATGGCGCTTTATACACGCGTTGACGTTCGCTCTATTCTTTCTTCTTCTTTCTATTTCGACGCGAAGTTGCTCCGCTTCCGAACAGGTATTTCGGCTCGTAACCTCGTTCGACGGTCGACGAGGTCAAAATTTTCTTGTGAAAACTGGCCGGGCGCACAGGGAAATTGATCTAAATTCTCCGTGGAAGATTAAATCGATTGGAATAAAAATCATGTCTGTAACGGAAACGTTTATCGAGGAAGACGGTTTCGGATTCGTTCCCAGGCCGGACCGTAAAAAACATAATAAGCCGAAGTTCGAAATTGTTAGGAGGTAAATCGCAGGCATCAGTCCACGTTTCCTGTTCTTACTGTTTACTCCTGCCCGCGTTATTCAACCAGGTACACAATGACGAACAAGCACAAAGCATCGGTGCAGTTGATATCTTGGGGTGCTGGAGTACAAGCTATCAAAGTTCCGAATCAGTCGGGAATCCTGGGGGACATTGTTTTAGGTTTCGATGACGTGGAGGGTAAACAAATTTTCGTATAGGATTTTAAACAGTTTCACGAGGTTCACTATTCGTGAAAATATAATCAGGGTATTTGGAGAACAGGTACATAGGGAGCATGATCGGTCGAGTGGCGAATCGAATTTCCGGCGGTCAAATTAGGCTCGAAAATAAGGTCTATTCCCTGACCCTGAACGACAAGACTGGCGTCAGCCACTTTAATGGGGGCTTCGTTGGATTCGATAACGTTAATTGGGATTCTCATATACTGAAGAAGCACGTGGTGGGAAAATACTGCGGAAATCACCGTCTAGCTTTGTTAATGGAACGTTTCATTTTTCATTCGCATCGTTTCCGTGGAACAGGTGATGTCTCACTTGAGCCGAGCGAACAGCGAGGGGTATCCGGGGGATTTGTTGACGCAAATTAAATACTCTTGGACGGACGATAATCAGCTTCACATGAACATTCGCGCCACTGCTACTCAACCAACGCCCGTCAACATTACCACTAATTGCTTGATGAATCTCGCTGGTCATGTAAAATTTCCACTCACAATAATTACTAATTGGACTCTCTTACCTCGCACGCAATATTATTTTATTTTCCCTTTTTCATTACGAAGCGCATACGTCTCGCTACGCAATTACAGCAATTATTAATTGGCATTCGCTAATTATGCTGTTTCTTTTGGTTTCCGTTGCAGGCTACGGGTCCAGAGGAGCTGAAGAAGCACGTGATCTCATTGAACGCGGCTAGCTGGACGTTCACAGATATCAGGGACTGTTTGCCGACAGGTGCTATATATCCGGTTGATCGTACAGTGTTCGATCTGCGCTTACCAACTCAGTTAACCAAGAGGCGGCTTTACATTGTACCGGGAGGCGGTTACAACCAGAACCTCTGCGTCACCAGCCCCAGCAGATGGTGTTATCGTTTCCACGCAAGGTAAATCGACATACTTTACATCTAATGCATATAAATCTGAACTGCGAATCCCGAATCTCCGAGAAGAGGTATATTAGCTGGTTCGCATTCAGTATCTCATTATTAATACTCAACGTATTGAATACAATTCATACGAATTATACATTTTTCTGTAATTCCCCTTTAAAGAATTTTACACCCTACTTCCGGAAGAACTGTAGAAGTGTATTCGAATCTCCCCGGCCTACAATTTTCCACCGCTAACGATTTGCCCGAACCCGATCATAACTACCCGCCCGATTTTGAGGATTACTGCACATGTCTAGATACAGTTAGAATCCCAACGATTACTTACGATAGTATAATATGAATTGTAGAAATACTTCGAGTATTACCAATTGCAGATAGGGGATGTGGACCAAGTGCAGAAAGAGGTTTGGGGCAAAGACGGTGTTCGGTATAGGAGGTACGGTGGGTTCAGTTTGTCTCCGCAAAACTACCCCGATGCTGTCAATATAAGCAATTTCCCATCTTCCATTCTTTACCCCGGCCAGGTTTACTCGCATGACCTAACGTACAAATTCGGTTTACTGTCAGAAAATTCGAACAGTTCCACTTAATTGTTCGTGAAAAATTATTAGGAAGGTTGGATTTATAATACATATATTTGTGAATTATTTCGGCTGAACTAATTTCCGTATTCGCGCCGATTGTACAAAATTATCGTTACGTCTATTCACATATTTATCGTAAAGGCGATACTGTTAATTGTGTAATTAAGAAATCGCCGTTAATTAATATTGTACATATTATCGATTAATGTTACTTTCCTTACGTAATTCTCTTTTAATTGACCTGAAGGCACTTGGTGCGCGACAGTGTAATCATCGTGTATTCATAATGTTTACACCAGCTAGTGTCGTTTTGTTACTTGCTAGTCGACTATAAAATTATATTATGTATAAATATATAAAGCTATACATATATTCTGTATATGTATACATCTTCTTCGTTTACTTAGACGTATAAGAAAAATTCGTTAATTTTTGTACATCCCTAAGTGGTTGTCTATACGTGTAATAATATTGTTGCGGGCAGTTGTTTACATCAGTGATTCTAAAGGCAGTTTCGCATTTTTATATAGTTTTGGTTATTTTAAAAATGAAACGTACCTGTCGTAAAAACAAATAGAAGCAAGGGCAGTTAGAAAATCGGTTTAAAAAATAGGAAGTAATTATCTGGCAGTGAGAGAACGCAAGTCAAGCTAGAAATGAACACAAATTTCGACGTTAGTTTAGTATTGATTCGAGGAAGGAATCGCGCCTGTGTAATAATACTCAGCCCGGCAATCGATTTCGTTTCCGTGTTCCTAGAAATTGACTAAGAAAAAATGTCGGAAGCATCGAAACGAGTAACACGGTTGCCTAAAACAATTATTCCGTCGCTATCAAGTGCACTCGGAGAGTCAAGGGCCTTTCCCATACTTCATTTTCCTCGGTGATATCGTCTCTCGAACGGCCGTGTATCGTCAAATGGAACTGACCGGGTTCCTTTAATCGATGACGGAAGTGAAGCGCCCAAACACCGTGATCGTTCACGATTTGGAAATGATCGTCCTTATTACCTTTGACTATCGTGTACTCCATATCCTTGTCCTAAACGGATTTAAAAAGAACCTAATTTTATCTCATACTCCAAGAAGAATTTATCGAATGTAGAACGTGGGATTATAGGAACCTTAACAGCTGGTTGCAATTTAAGGATTCTCATTCGGTGCCTGGTCTGTCGTAAGCTGATCTTCAGAACGTATTCCTCGCCGTGATGATGTCGTCTGGCAGACGACCTGGCGAATCGTTTCCTCATGATCTCTCTTCGTCGCGTGTTCGATTCTCTGTCTACCGATTTCGTCCGCACACCTCTTCTATGTCTTCCATTACCGTTAATCTATTTGGCAAGAAAAATGTGTTCGAATTTCTTGCAATTTCTCGAGTTATAAGGAACTCTGTTTGAAAATTACCTTGCAAGAGAAACATCCTTCCGTCGATATAGTTTTATCATCCGCGGGTGGTATGTGATAAGGATCTGGATTGATTACGAAGGTAGGCGCGTTGCTGATGTCCTCGCCGTAGTGCCCTTGCGATAACGGATTTATCGTTGACAAACAGTGACCCTGAAATATAGGAAATATTTTAAATATCCTATAATCTACGTATGGAGTTCTAAAATTATTGAGACATCATGTCAATAATTTTGGGATTTACTATAAAAATAAAAAGATATACGTACTTGTCCAATTCGTTGATAACCAGTCGGACATCCGCAAATAAAACCGCTCGCTCCATTCGGTGTGCACCCAAACGCGCAAGGACTTCCCATACACCCAGCGCTCACCTAAATTCATTAATTCTTGTATACAAAATACTACAATTAAATATAACACGATGATTCGCATTAAAATGGAAACGTTACTTGGACACAAATCTGCAAGTTCCCGTCGAATTGATAACCATCCGGGCATCCGCACTTATAACTTCCTATTGTATTGATGCAAGTATTGTCACCGCAAGGTGACGTGCTGCACTCGTTTTCGTCGATGCATTGATTATAATAGAGATGCTGAACGAATCCCTCGGGGCATCCGCAACGATAGCTTCCCATAAAGTTCTGTGAATTATGAAAAACAAATATTTCTCTACAGATCTTCATTGATAAACTAAACTATAATTTTGTAACATCGATTGACAATAGTCCACTGAATTTAAATTAATTGTATTTACCTGGCAACCATGTTCGCAAGTAGTATCGTCCGCGCACTCGTTCTGGTCGACGCAATATCTCCCGGATTGATCGAGCTTGAATCCTCTTGGGCAGATGCACCGGAAGCTGCCGAGAGTATTGATGCAAGTTCCCGGTTTAGGACAAGTTCCCGGCTGATCGCATTCATTTATGTCTACAAAAATAAAAACGATTAAAAATAGTCTTTCGTAGTAAGCAGATTTGATAGATTTCGATGTAATGCGCACCGTGACAGGCGTCTCCGTTTTGCGTGTATCCCTCTTGACAGCCGCAAGTGTAACTGCCTTGAGTGTTGATGCAATTCTGTTGACACAAGTGATTGCCACTCGCGCATTCATCCAGATCTCTGCAACTGACGCCGTCCGGGTTCAAGATGAATCCGGCGGGACACGAGCAAATGAAACTACCCTCCGTGTTCTGGCAGTTGTACTTGCATGGCCTCGGTGTTAGCTCGCATTCGTTTATATCTGCAACAGAAAATGTTTATTTAAATCCTTCGCATTGGTGGATAAATTAACAATTTTATAAAGTCGAATGCATACCGACGCATTGGGTCCCAGTTTTATCAGCCTTGTAGCCCTTGTTACAGACGCATCGATAAGAACCGAGGGTATTGATGCACAACCCATTTTTACACAAGTCGGGAATTGTTCTGCACTCGTCGATGTCTAAACAAATTTCCAATCGTTCGATTATGACATGATTCATCAATGATTTCCTCGTTCAAAATTTCTTTCTCTTTTTACCTTGTCCATCCACGGAGAAACCTTTGTCTAAGCAAAGTTCATTGTAATTGTCCGAGTCTTTCGAAGGGCAAATCTCGCAGTGTGGTCCCCAGGCTGCGCCCATTGTGCAACAGCAATCCGCTTTAGTAACTGTCTTTAGATCGGAAGTTCTCGCAGTGCATCGGCCACCGATCGTTTGCAAGAAGCAATAACCGACTCTGCGATCTGCAAAGAATAATTCGATGTAATCAATTGCTAATGAAATTTCGTTTCGTCGATTTTTTTCGTTACTGTACAAACCTATACAAAACTTTCCGTCTTGACTCGCTTCGAAACCGTCATAGCAAAGGCATTGATAACTGCCTTCCAAATTTATGCATCGTCCGTTTCTACATAGACCGGAATTAATCGCGCACTCGTCGACATCCTTGCATTCGTCGGTCATACCGATTTGTTGGTAACCGGGTGGACAAATACACATGAACGAACCGATCAAGTTTTTACATTGATATTTGCAATTGTTCGCTGGCGTCGCACATTCATCGACGTCTGTAAAAAGATAATCATTTTACCAAACTTGAAACTATCGTTCTCTCTATAAAATCGATGCTACTAAAACAAATTCTTATCACACGTTAAGGATGCATAGACTATGTACTTAAACAATGCTAGTATGTTGAATTTGTNCATCAATGCGTACAATTCGTATATAAAAATTTTTTCGCTAGTGTCAATAATTAATTGGATATTTCCTTCTATACTTTTTAGCACGTTTTTATTTATCAGTTAGCATTGTTCTTCCGACGTCTGCTTTCTTTTTAATTATAGGAAATGCGTTTTTCTAAAGTACATAAACTTTTGGGATTGACTATATAGCCAATACATCCTTAACGTTATCTAAAGAAACAAGTACCTATGCAGTGTCGTCCATCAGGAGCCAAAGTGTATCCATAAGGACAGATGCATCTGAACGAGCCCGGTGCATTGTGACACCGGAAGGCGCATTGGTTGCCGAGTTCCAGGCACTCGTTCACGTCCTCGCAGACTTGGTTCACCCCCGGGGTGAATCCCTCATTGCACGAGCACTCGAAACCGCCCTCGATGTTGGTGCACGTTCCGTTACCGCATATGTTTTGCTGAATCAAGCACTCATTGTTGTCCACGCAACGTCTGCCGCTGGCGTCCAGCACATACCCCGACGGGCACTCGCAGCGAAACGAGCCGTCCGTATTTATACACTCGCCACCGGCGCAGGCGTCCGGCATGAACAGGCATTCGTTCAAGTCGATCCCTGTATCGTCTCTGCCTGGTCCCTCAGGACACAGTCTCCGGAACTCCTCTGAATTAAAAAATTCCTAAGTGTATTCAACCGCGATCGGCTTCAAATTTTTATTTTCTATTCTATGATAGGATTATATTTTGAGAAATAAGTGTTCACCGCTATCTTCTGAAGGACACTGCTCGCAGTATTTTCCCCACGCTTTTCCCATTGTACAGCAGCAGTGCTTCTTCGTCATGGAACCTGTTCTAGGAAGAGAGCATCGCCCTCCCAGGTGTCTTATGTATCGGTCGTAGCAAAATTCTTCTCTAACGTCGATGCATCTCATTGAGTTCGGTTTGTCGCTCAATCTGTACCCAACGGGGCACTCGCAGATAACGCCTCCCTCCGTGTTAATACATCGGCCGTTCTCGCAGATTCCTTGGGTCTCCACGCATTCGTCCACGTCTAAAATGATTATATTAACGTTTTCAAATATTTCTAATTTATTCGTCGTCCGTTTCACTTACCCACGCACTTTTTTCTGGTGTGATCCAACTCGTAACCAGGTGGACAGTTGCATATGTAAGAGCCCATTAAGTTCTGACACTTCCCTGGCGATTGACAGAGCCCAGGAATCTGATAGATTTATTCATATTATTTTGCATCATTTTATTTTTTTTCATATAATTTTTTTTACGAAATGCTTACTTCGTGGCACTCGTCGATGTCTCTGCAGTGCTGGCCGTCTTGAGCCAAGACGTATCCGTCAGCGCATTCGCAATTAAATGCACCGATCGTGTTCCGGCATCTTCCGTTGCGACAGAGGAACGGCATAATCCTGCACTCGTCAATATCTGTTATAAAAAAAATTGACACGCCGTTTAGTTATCCATCAATCGAAACAATCTCTTAATCAATTTTTTTGAACTTCTACCAGCGCAGTCGTTGTTCGGGCTGAGCTTGAAACCCTGGTAGCAAATACATTTATAGGATCCGAGAGTGTTGACGCAAGTTCCGTTATTGCAAATATTCGGATTGGCGTTGACACTCGTCGATGTCGACGCAGTTGTCCCTGTCCCGGGTCAGCGTGAAACCAGAGTGACAGACACATTGGAAGCTACCCTGCAGATTGTTACAAGCCCCGTTGCTGCAAATTCCGGGTCGTTCGTAGCACTCGTCGATGTCGACGCAGTCTCGTTGGCTGAGTCCAAGCTTGTATCCGACCGGACAAATGCATTCGAAGTAACCCTGCTTGTTTATGCATTGCGCATTACCGGTACAAGGGTTTGGAATCTGTAGAAAAATTATCATTGACAGGATTCGAGTTAAAATTTGAAGAAATAGACGTCTGTTTTTTGATAAAATTCTACGCTTGTACCTGCAAACACTCGTTTTCGTCGATACACTGATGGGAATCTTGATCGTAGACGTATCCACGTTCACACTGGCACTCGAAACTCCCAGGAGTGTTTAGGCAACGGCCGTGAGTGCACATCGTTGGCATAAGCGAACACTCGTCGATCTCTTCGGTGTGGTTCGTTATAGGATTCATTATCTGGCCGGGTACCATACCGCACAGAATCTCGTGTTCCCCTGGAAATATTTTTCATTAAGTTTCTTCGAGAAAAATACGTTCCGCTTTGCTTACGAGTTCTTTCCGCGGGACACTGTTCACAAGGACTTCCCCATGCCGCTCCCATAGAGCAGCAGCACAACATTTTCGTCTGCGGTTGAACCATGGGATTGAAACATTGTCCCGCATCATAACTGAGGTAGCAGGATTCTTTTCTCATATCCACACATTCCTCTAGTATAATAATATAATTATAGTTATTAAATTTCTGGGATAGAATTGTTAATATAATACATTGAAAGAAATATTCATAGTCATTCTTACTTCCTCCTGGCATTGCCATGTACCCTTCTGGACACTCGCAATGATACTTTCCTTGATCGTTGATGCAGTATCCCACGCCACAAATTTGTGGATGCAAGGCGCACTCGTTTATGTCTGTACAAATACGACATATGATCGATATTTTACAGAGGCAGAAAGAGAAACGAAAAATTGATAATTACCTATACAGCTGGTTTTGGTATCGTCTAAAACAAAGCCCTCGTTACAAGAGCACATGAAGCTACCAAACGTATTGGTACAGTGCCCGTTTTGACAAATGTTCTCGTGTTCCTCGCACTCGTTGATGTCTTCTAAGATCACGGTCACTTTGTTAGGTCTGAATCCGAGGCCACCGGGACACAGTTCCTCGAACTCTTTGCTTCCCTCTTCGGGACACTCCTCGCATCGATTGCCCCAAGCAGTACCAATGCTGCAGCAGCACGACGCTTTGGTCATAGCGGAGCCAATATCGAAGACGCACTGCGGTTTATTAGTTCCGTGTTCGTAACCAGTGAAACAGAACGATTCTCGTCTATCTGTAATATAGTGCTTTAAAAGCTGTATCAAAATTATCATATTTCGTTCGAAATAAATTGTGGATTCTCGCATTCGTCGATGTCCGTGCAATTGCCACCGGAACCGTCCAATTTGTAGCCCTCGGTGCACTCGCAACGGAACATTCCGAATATGTTCTCGCATCGACCGAACACGCACAGATTGCTGAACATCTCGCATTCGTTTATGTCGACGCAAGTCTGCTCGTTGTTTTCGTCCGGGTGCATGAAGCCCATCTCGCATTCGCACCTGAATGATCCGGGATAATTGAGACAGTGCCCGTTCTCGCACAAAGTATTGTCGTTCGCGCATTCGTCGATGTCTTTGCACGTGTACCCGTCGCCTCTGAAGCCGGCGTCACAGACGCACTAGAATAATTTTGAATTCTTATTTAAAAAATCTCGTCTTCCTCTTCATTGTTCATTCAATCAAACTGATTGTATTGCAATTGATTTATTTCAAAATTTATAAAAATTACAGATTTACTTAGTAATAAAAGTACTTAGATAGATACTTTGAAGGACCCTTCGGTGTTGATGCACTGGGCGTTAGAATCGCATCCTCCGTTATTCGTCAGGCATTCATTGACGTCTCTACATTCGACTCCGTTGCCTACGAAACCTTCGTGACAAGTGCACTCGTAGGAACCTTGGGTATTCTGGCACTCCGCGAACTCGCTGCAGGAATACGCGTTTAGTAGACATTCATCGTCATCCGTGCATCCTGGACCTTGTTCGGGTTTTACAGAGTATCCCTCCTCGCAACGGCAATTGTACGATCCGATCGTATTGTAACATTCGCCGTAACCGCAAATGTGGGGCTGCGAATCGCATTCGTCCACGTCTGAAGAGATTTAACGTTTATTGCGAATCGGTCAGACACTTTAAGGATTAAGCGATCATACCTATGCAGGATATGCCATCCTTGCCAGGTACTAATCCGTCGGTGCAAGTGCATATGTAGCCGCCGGCTATATTCGAACATTTGCCTCCGTTACAAATTCTGGAATTCTCTTTGCATTCGTCTACGTCCACGCACGATCTTCCGTCCAGGTTCAATGCGAATCCGGTGCTAGCAAGAAGAAATAAATTATTTTAATTTT